CAAAGCTCTAAGTACATCTCACAACACGGTTTGAGAGATGTACTTTCAGTCTCGGTTTGAAAAATTCTGCCCTGCGCGCGCACGGTATGAACGAGATCCGTTCACTTTCTACAACAGAAAATACTCCTTGGGCAGTATTCTAAGAGCAACCGCTATCAGAAGTCAAGGATGATAAAGTATCTAGATCACGTCTGAAAAGAAACATGATGTCCTCAGCCCGAAATCGGAAAGGCTTCCACCTTCAGCATCCTTGCAGTTTCTGGAACGGAAGGAGTGCAGACTGCTGCTGAGTCCGGTCCACAAAGCCCTTTTCTTCACAGCCGCGCTCTGAAGCATCAGAAGCAGGTGAGCCAGCAGCGGGCCGGCCCCGCGGCCCCGCGGCCGGACCCCCGCCCGCCGCCGGGGGCCCGCATCCCCGACGCATGCCGCTCGCCCGGGAGGGCCCGGACGCCGCACACACACAGGCCGCTCTTACCTTCCTACTGGCGCCTCCGAGGGACACCTTGGGCCTCGTTTTGAAATCCCCTTCAAAACTAAACATCTTTACAGCTTATCCCATCTGGGAGGAGCCCCCGACCCTGAGAGCAGCGGGGCGGGCGGGGCGGGCTCCCGGGGGGAGGGGCCTCCTACGGGGAGGGGTCTCCCGCGGGGAGGGGTGTCTCGCGGGGAGGGGTCTGCCGAGAGGAGGGGTCTCCTGCGGGTAGGACTACGCCGCGCCGGGGAGCGACCCCGAGCTGGAGCCCGAGCCCAAGCCCGCCCTGGGGGCTCTGCCCGCCCGGCCTGCCCTCGGGTGGGGGAGGCGGCGACACTGGGGGGGCGGCTCCTCCTCACCTCCCCCCTCATCCACGCCTCCCCACTGCTCCGGCCGAGGCCGAGGGCGCTGGCAGGGCCGCGGACCCCGCACTTGCACCGGGAGCAGCCGCCGGGAGGAAAGATGGCCGCTGGCCGGGGCTGGCGTGCGCGATCCCGCCGGCGCGCGCGCGCCCGACGCCGACGCCTCGGCCCTGCGCCCCACGGGCCGCCGGCGCGCGCGCGCCCGCCATCGACGGCGTGGCGCTCTCCGGAGCCCGGCAGCGTGCGCGCGCCCGTTGCCGGCGCGCTGGAGCGTGGGAAGGCCCCGCGGTGCCCCGGCTCTGCGGCGGGGGCGCGCGGGGGGGGGAGAGCCGGTGGAGGGGGACGGAGGGGGGAGCGCCGGCACCTGCGCCGGGGAAGCGGGGCTGGCAGCCTTCCGTGCAATGCCCAACTGGGCTGATGTGAGACCGAAGGGCCGGGCCCTGTTAGATCCCGGATGCCTGTAAAGGATGCATGCGTTCCACGCGTGACCAAGTTCATACATCTGTACACGTAGCACGTACGTGTCACATACACCAACACACACACACACGAATATCTGTCCTGTACACGCGACTGCAGCCCAGATTGTACCCGCTCACATTTATCATTACTGTGCGGAGTGCCCTGATCTTTTTTTAACGCTAGTTACAAAGCTCTAAGTACATCTCACAACACGGTTTGAGAGATGTACTTTCAGTCTCGGTTTGAAAAATTCTGCCCTGCGCGCGCACGGTATGAACGAGGTCACAGCATAGAGTGTGTTTTATTGTAAATCAGGATCGAGAAACTTTGAAAGCCACCGGGAGAGTACTCACTCCTCAGGGGTTAACATATACAGCTACTCTGAGATGTCAAGAAATCCTTGATTCAACAAAGATATTCAACTTTCACCAACCCTGAAATTTTCCAGGTTTTTGTAAATAGAACATCAGGCTTTTCTTTAACCTGTCAGATGAGCAAGGATTAAAAATATGGCTGATATCCAGTATGTGCCCTCACTAAGTGAGTCTGCTCAGAGTTCTCAGATTTGGCCTCAAATAAACCCTTTGAAGGTCTAGACCAGGGGTGAGGAACAGGGAAGCCCAATTGCCCGGAACACCAAGTCTAGTTCTCCAGCATCAGCATTGTTGGGAATTAAGGTGTGTGGCCTCCATCTGCTGGGTGTTTTTCAAGTATTTTAACTGACTAGGACCATGGGCAGGGAAGAGGTTTCTATTTTTTAAAAAATCCCAGCATTGCTGTCCCCTCCTTTGGTCTTAGGTTCCACCTGCTGCTGGTGGTGTGAACACCACTATACTGGTTCATTTATGAGGTGGCCCGTTGTGTGAGCCAAGTAATTCCCTTGGCGCTCCGCTAAAGAATTAGTCATCTGCCCCCATGCTAGAGGAAAAAATGACTTATCAAAATAGGATTCCTCTGAAAGATTTTCAGAGATTTTTAAAAAATACTTTCAAGTAAAAAATGTCAAGCCTAGTAATGCAGAATATGAAATGGTATTATCAGTTCCCATTACCCCTCACCTAGCTTCAGAGATTATCACCTCCTGGCCACTCTTGTGTAATTCATGCCCCATCCGTTAGTCACTCTCCCCATTACTGTGAAGCGAATTCTAGACATCAACTCATGTAAATATGTCAGTATCTCTTAAAAAGGGGGGGGTTGTTTTTGAAGACATCATTCTCTCATTATTGCCCTACAAAAACTAACAACAGTTTTCAAGGATATATTGGGGGTAAAAGATTCCCCACCACAGGTGCTGACGGTAGAGCCTAATGCCTGTGGAATGTGATTCCCTTATTGTGTCCTGTCCTACCTCCTTCTCCAGACTGCAGCTCCTCTGGCCGGCTCGCCTGTGGGCCTGCTGTAGTGCTGTATGATGGGCCCGCTTGTGTTCCCTCTCTCGCTGTGTCTCTCTCTGTCAAATAAATAAATAAATAAAATCTTTAAAAAAAATACTTGGGCATTAAATCGATGATATCTAAAATGCAGTGGAAAGAGGTAGGTTAAAATCACGTAACTATTACACAGCCATTAGAAACGCTAAAGTGCAACATAGTAACAGCACCAAAAGTTGGCAAAGAGGTGGAGAAACCCAGCCTTCCCTATAGTAAAATGTTACAGCCATTCTGGAAAAGAGTTTGGTCATTTCTTTTTCTAAAAAAAATGAAACCAAATGCTTACCAGACGGCCCAGCACTTGCATTCCTGGACATTTATCCCAGGGAAATAAAAATGTATGTCCACATAATATTTATGCATAACTGTTCATGGCAGCTTCTTCTAATGACCAAATTTGGAAACAACCAAAATGTCCTTTGAAGGGTGGTGGCCAACCCCACTGTGGTGCATCCTCGCCACAGATAGGGTTTGGCAGTATCACAGGTGCCCTCAGGATGCTACTGACTGGAAAAGCCACTCCCAACAAGTCACATCAGATTGGATGATTCCATTTCTACAGCAAAATGACAAAATCAGAGAGACAGAGACTGTGTTAGTAGTTGTGAGGGGCTAGGGAGGGGGAGGAGGGGCCGGTGGGACTATATGGGGGCCACAGGAGGGAGGTCTTTGTGGGGGTGGAATGGTTCTGGGTCTTGGTCAGTGGTGGTTACATGCATCCACGGGTGATAAAATGACACAGAACCATGAACATGCACCATGCCAATGTCTGCGTCTTGGTTTGGATATTGTACCATAATCATGTAAGATACAACATGAAGGGAAATTATGTAAAGCGTATGTAGGACATCTTTGTACTATTTTTGCAACTTTCTGTGAATCTATATTCAAAATAAAAATTTTTTAAAAGAATTTATTTATTTATTTGACAGAGAGAGAGAGAGAGCACACAAGCAGGGGGAGGGGAAGAGGCAGAGGGAGAAGCAGGCTCCCTGCTGAACAGGGAGCTCGACCTGGAACTCAATCCCAGGATCCTGAGATCACGACCTGAGCTGAAGGCAGACGTTTAAGTGACTGAGCCACCCGGGCATCCCTGGATTGTTCTGTTTTTAAAAAGAGATCAGGGCACCTGGCTGCCTCAGTTGGGGGGAGCGTGTGACTCTTGATCTCAGGTTCATGAATTCAAGCCCAACCTTAGGCATGCAGCCTATTTAAAAATAAAATAAAATAAAAGAGATCATATTACCCCCCAAACCCCCAACAGCATTTTTTTTGGTACCAAAATGTAGTATGGATATCCTTCGATGACAGGACTTAGAAATCTGCATTAGGGGCGCCTAGGTGGCTCAGTCCCTTAAGAGACTCTTGGTTTTAGCTCAGGTCATGATCCTGGGGTCCTGAGATCAAGAGCCACATTGGGCTCTGTGCTTAGTGTGGAGTCTGCTTGAGATTCTTCCCCCCCCTTTCCTTTCCTCTCTGCTCCTACCCACCCACCCATCCTCAGCCACACGTGCTCACTCTGTCTCTCTCTCAGTAAATAAAATCTTAAAAAAAGAAAAAGAAGAAAGAAGAAAGAAAGAAAAAGAAAGAAAGAAAGAAAGAAAGAAAAGAAAGAAAGAAAGAAAGAAGAAAGAAAGAAAGAAAGAAGAAAGAAAGAAAGAAAGAAGGAAAGAAGGAAAGAAGGAAAGAAAGAAAGGAAATCTACTGCATTAGTTGCATTGGCTACTTAGGGTCTCATTGTATGGATGGACCATAATTTATTATCTCACCATTTCCCTACCGTTTGATGCTGAGGTTGATGTCATTTTGTTGTTACAAATTCTGCAAGAACATTCTCACACACAGGAATGAGTTTTTCCTGTGGGATAGGCTCCCTAACAAGGCATGGCTGAGTTGTAGGGTAGCAAGCTCACATTTGATAGGGTCAGGTCTTTGCTATCCCCAGAGGATAGACCCCCTTTTCTTTGGGATCATCCTGTGGCTGCTGATGAGCCATTAGGTGTTGGCCCCAGAGACTCTGGAATGGGTCCAAAGAGAACATTCATTAAATTACCACCAAGGCCGGGTCCCTGGGTGGCTCAGATGGTTAAGCGTCTGCCTTCGGCTCAGGTCGTGATCCCAGGGTCCTGGGATTGAGTCCTGCATCAGGCTCCCTGCTCAGCGGGGAGCCTGCTTCTCCCTCTGCCTCTCTCTCTCTCTCTCTCTCTGTCTCTTATGAATAAATAAAGCAAATCTTTAAAAAAAAATTACCACCAAGGCCACGGTATGCCCAAAGCTGAAAATTCACTCCTTCCTCCATTTACCGTCCCCAAAATCATCCAACCCCATTGTCCAGTAGAATTAACCAGAACTCATGTAATGAGATTAAATGATCACATTCAGATTTTCCAATAATGAAATACAAAAAGACTCCAGTGAATGAAACTAGAAAGAAATACACATAAAATGTTGTTGCAGAAGTGGGGATGTAGTTACTGATCAGGGAAGGTCTTGGAGGGGACTTCTCAGGTGCTGGCAACACTTCTCGGCCTGAGTGGTCTTTCCGGGGTGCTTCCTTTGGTATTATTCTCTCTTTCTTTATTTTTTTAAAGATCTTGTTTACTTATTTGGGAGAGAGAGAAAGAGAGGGAACACAAGCAGGAGGAGGAGCAGAGGCAGAGGGAGAAGCAGGGTCCCTGCTGAGCAAGGAGCCCGATGCGGGACTCGATCCCAGGACCCTGGGATCATGACCTGAGCCGAAGGCAGACGCTCAACTGATTGAGCCACCCAGGCACCCCTGGTACTATTCTTTAAAATGTAGATATGTTACACATA